GGCTAGAAGCCCAAATACAAAAAAGTAATAACCACGAGGAAAGGAAATGGCTGATTTATCAGCCAACAAAAGGAAATGAGCCTAGCTAGGTGGGACATTAAAAGATAAAACACCCTCAGGAATAGAAAACCCGATTTTGGCAAACCCATCCGCAACTTGATTTGCCTCTCGAAGAGTATGGATACACTCAATCTTGTAGAAATCACCTAACATCCTCACAATATGATTGACTAGGGCATAACACGGATGTGCTTGTGGGCAGCCTTCATTTAGAAATTTTACAGCAATAGCTGAATCTGATTCAATAATTATGTGACTAGAGATAAATTTGTCTTTGATTAGTCTTAGGCCATGGTAGATAGCCCATAACTCTGCTTGCACTACAGTACAGGTACCAAGCAATCCAGCAAAGGCAACAATAAAGGTTCCATCACTATCTCTTAAGACCCCTCCACATGAAGCCTTGGAGAGATTTGAGACAGCTCTATCACAATTGAGTTTAAGAATGTTTGGAGGAGGAGGGTTCCAGCTAATATTTGTACGAGAATGATCCTGAAGAATCGATTGATGTTGTTTATAACAAGATATTTTACTTAGCTCAGCTAGACGCCCCTTGACAACATACACCACCTAGTTCGATGATAACAAATAATTTTTGAAAGTAAGCCCATTGCGTGCCTGCCAAATCGCATCCAGAGTTAAAGGGAAAGTTTGGTTCCAAATGGCATGAGAATCAAATAAGTTAGTAGCCAACCAATCTGTCAAAGGTGAGAGGAAAAAATTAACTTCACGTGTAGCACCTAAGATTGAACACCACACTATTCTGGAGAAATCGCAGTCACGGAGGATATGAATAAAAGTCTCTCGGTCAGCATGACAAATATTACAACTTGCATCATATGTTAAGGATCGTGATAACCTCCAATCATTGGTACAAAGGCTATTATGAGCTATGCGCCATAAAAAACAACGAATACGTTCCGGCCCAGGCCACCTCCATATCAAGGAAAAGAGATTTTTGAGGTTTGATGGAGCCGATGTCCTTAAGGCTTCATATGCAGACTTCATATTGAAAACACCATTGTTGCAACCCCCCCACACTAAACAATCTCCATCATTGTCTGTAGAAGGGGGAGCCATACCTTTCAACTCGTTCCAACAGCTCTAGGGGATTAGGTCGTGAATCCCTTCCAAATTCCAAGAGCCATCCTCCCTAGTAAAATCAGTTGCCGTCTTTTTTAGGAGATTTATGGAAATTGGACCTGTCGTCACATCTATAAGCATCACCTTTGATGGAAGCCACCGATCCGCCCAAAACTTAATTGTTTTCCCATCACCTAAACTCCAAGCTAGGGATTGTTCAACCTTTACCCATGCGGCGCATATTCCTCTCCAAAAGTTTGAAGCCACGACCCTTTTATGAATCAAAGGAATATCTTCATCACCACATCCATATTTAGATCTAATTACACGGAGCCAAAGCAAATTTGGCTGCGAACAAATGTTCCAGCAATTCTTCATCATATAGCAAGTATTTACCTTACGAGCTTCTCTGACACCAAGTCCTCCTGAATCCTTAGGTTTGCAAATAGTCTCCCACGCAACAGCATGAACAAGACGGTGGTTACTCGAGTCTCCCCAAAGAAAAGACCTACAGGCTCTATCAAGTTCATTGCAACACTATTTAGGGAAGTAAATTGTTTGCATAGTATAGGTGGGTAATGTAGCAAGGACTGATTTTGAGAGGGTAAGTCGTCCTGCAAATGATAGAGTGTTGGCTTTCCATTTGCTTAGCCGCTTGTTAATATGGTCCATCACCGATTGAAGACTTCGTTTGCTCACCCTTTTGTGATGAAGCTGAACTCCTAAATACTCCCCGAGATCGTCTGTACGCTGATAACCTAGCAAGGAACTGATTTCGGTCTTCACATTCCAACCCACATTTTTTGAGAAGCAAACCTTAGTCTTCTCCTGACACACCTTCATTCCCGAGCTTGTACAAAAAAGGTCCAAACATGTCTTAATAATCTCTACCTGCTCTACAGAAGCCTCCGAAAAGAAAATCAAGTCCTCAACAAAAGCAAGATATGTGAGAGGAAGACCTTTTTTTGCGAGCTTAATAGGCTTCCACAATTTCTGTTTTTCAGCAATTTCAATCAAGTGGAATAATCTTTCCATACATAAAACAAAGATATATGGAGATAGAGGATCTCTTTGACGAATACCTCGTGAAGGGGTGAACTGCTTTAAAGCCTCCCCGTTCCAGAGAACCTGCATAGTTGGAGATGAAATATAATACTATAGTTCTTTTATTTACATTTAATTGTTCTGTTAGCTTTACATCTTTAATAAATATTAAATAATATGGAGGAATAGGATGGATGATCATTTTGACATGTAGGGAACTATAGTGCATTTGTTTCTAGAAAATAATTATTTTGCAACATGATTTTGAATCAATTTTTGACTGATTTAAGACTTAAAACTTGTAAAATTATTTTTCCCTGTAGACCCCTAAAATTGTCCGGGTCGGAAATAAAGCTCAAAGACTCTCAAAGACCGAAGGAAAGTCAGCCGGAAGGACTCCTGGAAGACCCTAGGATGATTCTTTGTAGGTCTAGAAGTCTTAGAGTAGCTTAGAATAAGGGTGTGTGAGGATTGGAGCTCAATACGCCCTCCTAGAGGTTCAGTACGGCCGTACTGAGTCATTTGAACTACAATACGGCCATAATGAAATCAATACGGCCGTACTGAAGTTTTTGAACTTCAGTACGGCCGTACTGAATTCAGTACGCCCGTACTGTAGTTCAAAAACTCAGTACGGGCCGTATTGACTCCTTAGGCCGTACTGCGCCTCAATCCTATAAATAGGACGTCATTGGCTCGTCCTTCCACACATTTGGAGCATTTCTCCACCCTCTTGCTGAGTATTCTTGGGTTTTTGAGCTATTCTCTGCCCTAGAAATCTCTCCGAGAGCTGATCCGACTAAGTTCTTGAGTTCACGAGCCTTTAGCTTGAGACTCGAACAAGTCGAAGGGAAATCTCTTTGATTTCCATAGTTAATATTTATTTTTAGGGAAAGGAGCGAGCGAACGTGTAGTGGGAAGGAGCGCCAAAAAGCCTCCTAACTCCTTTTTGAATATATAAAAGCCCGCTTCGAAGGTTTCTTTCCAAATCCTTTCTTTTACCGCTTTCATTTATCGCTTTTTGATTGTTGCATTGCACGTTTAAAGCTTTCATCATGTAGATAGTTTACTTATAATCGTTCTAATAAATAGGGGTAGTTTAGTAATTTTACGCTATTATTTATGAAATAATCCGTCATAGGGAACCCGAAAGGGGCGTTGTGGGGTGCTAACACCTTCCCCACACGTAATCGACTCCCTTACCCAACTCTGGTTGTAATGGCCAAAGTTGATTTGCGAAAATCAATTGCCTTATGTCTTTTTCCAATGTTTTGAGTAAAACATTGGTGGCGACTCCAAGAACCCCTTTTTGCGAAAACCACTAATCCATGGAGGGTCCCGCTTGGGATTAACACGGATTGGTGAGAATCATTTAACAAAATTGTTAGTTCGATGAGGTCTCAGTTTGAGAATAAGTCGTTCTAACAATCCATCATTTTTCAAAATTAAAAAGAGTCCAACCATCGTCGCGAATGCCAATGTCCGTTTCGGCGGGGGGCGACATTCCCTACATAAAATTTTGGCTTAAATATGTTTAAACTACCTCGAATTAGGTCGATTTTCATATTACTACTTTTAAAAAAAAATTAAAAATTACCTGACTAATATTTTTTTTTTCAAATTAGTACCTGACGTTAGTTTCCTCTGTTAAATGATGACGTGGCAGTTGTATGCCATGTCAGCACACAATGGCCACCTCGTTTTCCACGTAAATTGCCACGTTAGATTTGTAAAATTTTTTAAAAAATAGTTTCGCGCATATGTTGGAAATTTATGAACTCCGAAACCCATTCTCTCATTCATCTTCAACCTTCAAGAACTCACAAAACCATGTTTGAAAATTGTTCCTTTTTTATTTTGAAAATATTGAAGTTGTAATTTGTTTTGATTTTCGTTTTCATTCTCCTTTTTCGTGAAGTTGCTCCATTTTTGTGTTTCTTCAATTTGGGAATGTGCATTGTACGTGGTTGTTTGTTCCTTGGGTTAGAAGTTTGAAGCACCGTTCTTCGATGACCATTTGTGGAGGTGAGATTTTGTAGCCATAAATAGAGGTAGTTGTTGTCATTGTTGAAGCACTGCCAAAGTTGTTTTGGACGAAGCCCCTTGCCATTCTCCATCTGTGTTGAAGGTAAGTGGTTGGTTATGTTATTAGGATTTACAATTTGATAGCCTTTAACTGTTCTGTTGCTAAGATTTTTTTGACTCAAGGATTTTGTAGCCAAAAAGGAACAATTTTCAAACATGATTTTGTGAGTTCCTGAAGGTTGAAGATGAATGAGAGAATTGGTTTCTGAGTTCGTAAATTTCCAACATATGCGCGAAACTAATTTTTTAAAAATTACAAATCTGACGTGACAATTTACGTGGAGAGGTGGCCATTATGTGCTGACATGACATACAACGTTGGGCGATGACGTGACAGTCTGTTTGCCACGTTATCATTTAACAGATAACGTCAGGTACTAATTTGAAAAAAAATATTAGTCAAGTAATTTAAACAAAAAAATATTTAAAAAGTAGTAATCTGAAAATTGACCTAATTCGAGTTAGTTTAAACATATTTAAGCCTAAAATTTTTAATGAAACAAATTTTAAGTCATAAACAAAAGATTTATTCATAATCGTGTTTTAAAATTTAAAATAATCATTATTTTAAGAAAACAAAATGGATCCAAATTTTTAAGATATTAAATACGCCCACAACCCTAATCGTAGTTAGTGTGTCAACAACCATGTATTCATACACTTCATAATCTCAATTTTATTATTTTAAGAAAACAAAATGGATCCAAATTTTTAGGATATTAAATACGCCCACAACCCTAATCGTAGTTAGTGTGTCAACAACCATGTATTCATACACTTCGTAATCTCAATTTTTTAAAGTTTTAGAATACTGTTCATGTGTTTGTAGACACAGCATTTTTAGTTTCTTTCACTGTCCCATTTAGGCCTTTTGTTAGATAAGAGAAAAAGGTAGCACCTGTCTGTCTTTTTTCTTTCTTTCTGTTCGTGTTTATATTTTTAGGTGATTTGAATTTGAAGTTCAATGTCTTAATTTACCTGTTATCTTAAACTTTTTCTCTGCTGTTGATTTGAAAGTGCTGTAGGAGAGAACATGTCCTCAAAAAGGGAAAGGGAAGCTGTTGATAGAGTAGAGGATGAAGGGCTTGATAATGAGTCAAAGAGGCAGAGGCCGGATGATGATTCCTCCCCCTCTCCACCTCCTGTCTCCATTGCAAATCCTCTATCTGGGTTGGCCAATAATTATGCTGACATTGATGAGGAGGAAGATTATGTTAGAAGGGAAAGGGGTTCTGTTAATGAGAGGAGGAATGATGGATCCCAGCATAATGGACATAGATATGGAGAGGCTGATGATAGTGATGAAGAAGATGATTCACGTGAACAATTTAGTGGAAGAAACAATCGCCAGGTTGAGGTTCGGAAGGACTGTCCTTATCTTGATACTGTTAATAGACAGGTATTTGACTGATCTTGTCCATTGTTGACTGTAATTTTGCTGGTTTTCATGCACATTTGAATTTTGACAACATTCATGTGCAGGTTTTGGATTTTGACTTTGAGAAATTCTGTTCTGTCTCCCTGTCCAATTTAAATGTGTATGCATGTTTGGTTTGTGGGAAGTATTACCAAGGGAGAGGGAAGAAGTCTCATGCATATACACATAGTCTGGAAGCAGGACACCATGTTTATATCAATCTCCGGACTGAAAAAGTCTACTGTCTTCCTGATGGTTATGAAATTAATGACCCTTCTTTAGATGACATTCGGCATGTCTTAAATCCAAGGTTGGTCCAATTTTATTTTTTGGCTGTGCTTGCTGCAGACAATTTTTTAGCTACATATTTCTGTTTCTATTGTCATCAATTATTGGCTGGTGACAACAATTATATTATCACCTTTCGTTCAATGTATGTCACCAGTTGGCTGCTTAGAGAGTTTTTTTTTTTCCATTTGTCTCCCCTTAGAAAAATGATTTTAATCCATTCTAGAAGGTCAAAATTCATGTTATGGACCTCCCAAAATCAAGTAAGTGTTTCTGCTTGAGGGTTGTGTTTAAAGTGGTCATCTGCCTACACAAAGTTTGTGAGGTTCTCATGTTTGAGCCTTGTCTTGGACACTTTGTGGATAGGTGAGATTGGATCCTCAGTGTTGTTAAACGCCCCATCACTCTATTCTAGGGCCAGTGGTGATCCCCAAACAATGCCTCTGTCTTATATTAGGGATTTACCTCTGCTGTTCACACCAATCTTGGAATCCCCTTCTATTTACCCATCAAAAGGTGTTTTGCGTGGCGGCAAGAGGAATAATTAATTACTTTATGCTTGTTTATTTTGTCACTGTTGTTAATATTTTTCTCTTCATTATAAACTAATTAAAAAGGATGTTTGTTTTTATAGGTGCTGGGTTTGGGCTATGGATTATATGTTTATCATAAGTTATTATTTAATAAATTCAGTTACATGCTTCCGATCTTAACATTTGTACCCTTTTTTATTAGAAAGATACCCAATGAAGACACATTTAAGAGCTTTGGAAGATATCTGTAGAATCTTTTAGTTTATTTTTCAGCATATTTTTTCTTTATTTCCTTATTTTGGAAGATTAGATTGTTACAAATAAGTGTAAGGAAAATGTAATAGGTACGAATGATAATAATAAAATCATTCTCTTTTTCCAAGTTGGTATCAGAGCTCCCGATCTTGGGAGCTCCGTTTCCGCTGCAACAGTAGCCACCACTGCCACTGTCCAGCCACTGCGACTGCCGCCGTC